CTGAAAGAATTTATTGTGCTTAGTTATGCTTTTAACAAATCCATATTAAATGCCATTTATTAACCCCAAATTAACTTCTTTTTTATCCAAAAACACTTTTAGAATTTTCTCGACTCTTTAAAATATTCCATGCACAGAATGTTGATCTTGTGTATTAGTTAGGGTTCGGTGCTGATGGCTTCAGGTGGATATATTCCAAGAGATACAGTGATGCATCCCTTCCCCATGGACCTCTAGTCCACATGATGACAAAAATGACTATTAATTTACAATATTGTAAGCTCTAATATGTTATGATTGTAATTTTAAAACAATATTATTACATAACTTAAAAAAAATAAAATGGGCATTCTTCAGTCTGTTGAATTCATCTTAACTTGTGTATACTCGTCAGGTAATTTTATACTCCAAAGCTCCCTGTAGCATATCCTTCACTGACTGCGGATTTTGAAACATTTGGTTGTCTTAGAAGCATATTGCAACTGAAGCCAACTATTTAATCATAGTTGCAGCTGATCAGAGTTACACGTGCTCCATAAGATGGCAGTGTTAAAACGTGCAAGCACTGCAATGGAGAAAGCTAAGATAGATTGAAGATACTTTGTACTAAAGTGAGACAACTGCACAAATCTGAGCGCTTTTCACTCTGGAGGGATTTTAAAGGGACTGGTATCTTCTCAAAAATGAAGTACCTTGGAATCCTTGAAGGGAGATATTCCTCCATGTGCCTGAAATTGCAACGTTAAATCGATGCAATGACATAACATTCAAAATCAAGAGATAACAAGGTGTAGAGCTGGATGAACACAGCATGCCAAGCAAGTTGCGATACACATCACTTGCTTTATTCTAGGTACCTTCTGGGGAATTTAATCAGTTAAATTTTAGTTTCCATTTCTTCAGCTTCCCTCAATAACAGGCTGATTTGGTTATTCACATTGGACTTTGAGATCTAAAAATGCTTAATCAGCAATCTTTAACGGATCGCTTGAAAATTGCCGAATAATGTTAAATATATTTTGTATTTTGCAGAGTTCGAAGTAGCACGTACTCCTTTCGACTCCACAAATTGCAGATCACTGACAATTCTTGTATATCTTCTGTAATGTCTAATGTGTCAGGGGTGGATACTTTATTTTCTGTTTTCTCTAGTCCATGTTAAATAACTTGCCTTCTTCAAACTTATCCATACGTTTTATTTGAAGACCTATACCAAAAGTAATTTGACTTGTTAATTATTGCCTTCCAGATGCAGATCAAATACCCAATCATTTAATTTGTGACTATTTTACAAAAGAACAAAGCACAAAAGACAACTATGGCACTGGAACAGGCCCTTCAGCCCTCCAAGCTGCGCTGATCAGCATGCCCTGACTAAACTAAAAAACAAACCCCTGCCCTTATTCGGTCCATATCCTCCTATTCCCTCCTGATTCATGTAACCATCCAGATGCCTCTTAAATGTCGCCAACATGCCTGCTTGCACCACCTCCTGCATTCCAGGTTTCTACACTCTTGCATGAAAAAATTGCCTCGCACATCTCCCTTAAACTTTTGCCTTCACACCCTGAATCTGTGCCTCCTCGTAGTTGAAAATTCAACCTGGGAAAAAGCCTCTGAATATCCACCCTATCTATGCCTGTCACAATTTTGCAGACCTCTATCAGGTCTCCTCTTAGCTGCTGTCTTTCCAGTGAAAGCAATCCTAGTCTTTTTAACCTTTCCTCAGAGCCAATGCCCTCAAGCCCAGGCAACATCCCGGTGAACCTTGTCTGCACTCTCTCCAAAGCTTCCACATCCTTCTGATAATGTGGCAATCAAAACTGCACTCAATACTCCAAATACAGCCTAACAAGGGTTTTATATAGCTGCAACATGTTTTGCCAACTTTTGTACTCCATGCCCTGGACGATGAAGGCAAGCGTGCCATATGCCTTCTTAATCACTTTGACCACTTGTTTTGCCACTTTTAGAGAACTGTGGACCTGACACCCAGATCCATCCATATGTTAATGTTCCTAAGGGTTCTGCCATTATCAATATAATTCACACCTAAATTTGATCCTCCAAAATGCATCACCTCGCATTTGTCTGGATTAAACTCCATCTGGCATTCCTGTGCTCAAGTCGCCAACCTATCTATATCCTGCTGTATCCTTTCACAATCATCGGCACTATAAGCAACTCCACCAATCTTCGTGTCACCTGCAAACTTACTAATCAGACCACCCACATTTTTCTCCAGATCATTTATACATACTACAAACAACAGAGGACCTAAGGCTGATCCCTGTGGAACACCACTAGTCACCGGTCTCCATTCTGAAAACCACCTTTCCATCACTACCCTCTGTCTTCTATGACCAAGCTAGTTTTGTTTTCATCTAGCCAGCCCAACCTGAATCCAGTGTAATTTTAGTTTTTGTATCAATCTGCCATGTGGGACTTTATCAAATGCCTTACTAAAGTCCATATAAACTACATCCACAGCTCTTCCCTCACCAATTATCTTTGTCACCTCTTCAAAAAATTCGATCAGGTTGATGAGACATGACCTTCCCCATACGAAACCATGCCACCTGTTGCTAACTAGTCCATTATCTTTCAAATGTGCATATATCCTGTCCCTCAGTATCTTCTTCAAGAGCTTCCCCACGACAGATGTCAGACTCAATGGCCTACAATCTCCTGGATTATCACTGTTTCCTTTCTTAAATATAAGCTAATCTCCAGTCCTCTGGAACCTCGCCTGAGGTCAAGGAAGATGTGAAGATATCTGCTAATGCCCCAGCTATTTCTTCCCTTGCCTCTCGCAGTAACCTGGGATAGATCCCATCTGGCCCTGGGGACTTGTCTACCTTAATGCGATTTAGGATACCCAAAACTTCCTCCTTTAATATATTGATATTCTGTAGAGTATTCACATACTCATCCCTGACCTCAACATCAGTCACGTCCTTCTCCTCAGTGAATACTGATACAAAGTACTTATTAAGAATCTCTCCCACTTCCTGTGGCTCCACACATAACTTCCCTCCTTTGTCCTTGAGGGGGCCTACTCTTTCCCTTGCTTCCCTCTTTCTTCTAATATATGCATAAAAAGCCTTGGGATGCTCCTTGACTCTGTTTGCTAAAGACATTTCATGGCCCCTTTTAGCCTTCCTAATTATGCGTTGAAGTTCCTTTCTAGTTTCTCTATGCTCTTCAAGGGCTTTGTCAGTTTGTAGTTGCCTAGACCTACCTTATGCTTCCTTTTTCCTTTTAACTAAGTTTACAATTTCCCTTGTCATTCATGATTCCTGAATCTCGCCATTCCTATTCTTCAGTTTTGCATGCCCTGCACTTTAATCAACTGGTCTTGAAGAGCTTCTCACATGCAGACGTAGATTTGCTCTCAAATAACTGCTCTCTATCCACATTCCCCAGTTCTTGTCTAATTTGGATGTAATTGGCCCTTGCTCAATTAAACACCCTCACCTGAGGGCCACTGTTGTCCTTGTCCAATACTACTCGAAATCTTATGGTGTATTGGTCACTAAGCCCAAATGCTCTCCTACTGAAACATCGATCATCTGTCCTGGCTCATTCCCTAATACCAAGTCTAATATGGCCTCCTGTCTGGTTGGATTGTCAACATACTATCTCAAAAAGGCCCCCTGGACGTATCTAACAAATTGCTCTCCATCTGAGCCCCTGGCTGTAAGGGAGTCCCAGTCAATAAGAGGAAAATTAAAGTCACCCACCACCCTGCTATTTTCATACTTTTCTAGTATCTGACTACATATCTGCTCCTCTGTCTCACGTGGGCTGTTGGGAGGTCTATAGAAAACTCCCAGCATTATGATTTCACCCTTACTATTCCTGAGCTGCACCCATAATGCCTCACTGCAAGATTCCTCCGATGAATCCTCCCTCAACACAACTGTGATGTGATCCCTAATCAGCAATGCGACTCCCCCACCCCTTTTGTTTCCCTTTCTGTCCCATCTAAAACAGCACTATTCTGGAATGTTAAACTGCCCCTCTTTTAACTATGTCTCTGAAATGGCAACAACATCATAATTCCACGCAGTAATCCACGCTCTTAGTTCATCTGTATTACCTGTTATACTTCTTGCATTGAAGTAAATGCACTCCAGACCTCCAGTCCCTCTGAGCCCTGCAACATCCCTCTGCCTGCTTTTACTCTGCATTATGCATATCTCAGTCTCTCCTTTGTCCTGAGTCCCTGTATTTACTGGCCTGTTGTTCTGGTTCCCACCCTATGCCACACTAGTTTAAACCCTCCCGAGGACCTCTAGCAAACCTCCCGCCCAGGATTGTGTTTTCATGACAGGATTAATCATTCAGAAATCTTTCCCCTTTCTGCTAACAAGAAATTCAAGAAAAATCTCACTATGCTCATTATTACCTATTCCTATTTCCTGCCTTTATCCACATTGCAATCCATCTGATGTAGGTGGTCCAGGAGGGCTATTTGAGACAGCATGTTGACAATCCAGCCAGAGAAGAGGTCATACTAGACTTGGTATTAGGAAATGAGCCAGGACAGGTGATCGATGTTTCAGTAGGACAGCATTTTGGGCTTAGTGACCATAACTCCCTAAGATTTCGAATAGCCATGGACAAGGACAAAAGTGGCCCTTGGGTGAGGGTGTTTAATTTCATAGAAGTGTTCAAGGTTAAGACATATTTAGATAAGGTAGACAAGGAAAAATTGATTCCATTTGCCAATTGTACAAGGAAAAAGGAACATGCATTTAAGCTTTTGGGGTAATACAAGTAGAGATGATAATTGATTTCAAAAGAAAATTAGATAAGCACTTGAAGGAAAGTAACTTGCAGGGCTATGGAAATCGGGATGGAGGGGTGGGTTGAGAAGGTGGAACTGACCGAAGAGAGCTAAATTGAACTCAAAGGGCCAATTAGGCCCCTTCATTGACTCTAAATATAGGATTAAAAATTAACATTACATATAGTAAAGTCTTATTATGATTTACCTTGCATAGAAGTCACCAGGTGGAATGAGTTCCTGCAGGAACTGCAACTGGTAAAGATACAGTCCAATCAAGTGTCCTGCACTGAATATGGCCATTAATACACACAAACAGCTGAACATCAGTGGATCAAACTGTTTACCGCAGGACCACCAAGTACACAATCCCAAAAATACGAAGAAGTATACTCCTGAGCTCAAAGATGGTAGTGTAATGCCTGCAGAAAAAAAAAGGCATTGTTATCAAAGTTATCTGAGCTACAGAAGGGCAAAGAGCAAAGATTAGGTAACAGCAGTTCTTTGATCTGTATCTTCCTATCTTTGGAACATTAATTTAAAGGAAAATGAAATGATCTGTTTATGATGCACAAAGGTTTAATGTACTATAAGTATAACTGTACAAACCTGTTAGACCAAGTAAAATAGTAACAACTACTTTTCCAGTGGTAGCTATAATATTTCCAATAAATTCTTTTAGTTTTGATGCGTATGTTGCAATTCTGCGAAGAATATTTTGTTTGGTTCCCTCTTCTTCCAATTCTTCAACTACATCTGCTACCTCAAAATCTTCCTCATAAATGAATGGATCTGCCAGGTCAAGTTTTTCTTCAACCTGTAAAGACAGAGATTAATTAGTTGCACATAGTTCTAACATATTAGTTATCCAGTCTTTAACCTTAAAATACATTCTTATGACTCAATTGTGCTATCTTTTATGAAATAAACTATATCAATACAGATGACTTGGAATGTGATAGCTGACTTGTGCTGATTTATTTGTCCTAGATTAGAGTCACATCTAGGATAAATGAAAATGGTTGTGGTTGTTCAATGTCTGTTGACTCAGCTTTAGCACTGAGGATGGGTCACAGGACCTGAAACATTCACTCTGATTTTTTTTTTCTTCACAGATGCTGCTAGACCTGCTGAGTTTTTCCAGAAATTTCTATTTTTGTTCCTGATTTACAGCATTCGCAGTTTTTTCCGTTTTTACATTTCTTCACATGTCTTGTTCCTGTTCAGGGCAGTGTTCCAGGCCCAACCATCTACATGTGTTCCATTAACGCTCTTCCCTGCATCATAAGGTCAGATGTTTGGGTGTTCATTGATGATTGCATAATGTTCAGTACCATTCTACAGCAGTCCATCTCCAAATGCAGCAAGATATCCAGATAACAAGTAGCAACTAACATTTGCGCCACACAAGTGCCAGACAATGACCATCTCCAATGAGAGAGATCTTACCAATGTCGACATTCAAAGGCATTGCCAATACTGAATCTCTGACTATCAACATACTGGGAAATACTATTGATCAGAATGAACCAAGAAAGTAATCATAACTTCATCTGATTCAAAATTATTATGGAAAAGTACAATCATGAGCCTGAAATCAAAGTTCTAAATTGGGGGAAAGCCGATTTTAATAAGATCAGATATGATATGCCCAGAGTGGGCTAGGAGCAGATACTTTCAGTTAAATCTGTGTTACAGCAGTTGGATTCATTCAAAAAGGAAATAGGGACAGTACAGGGCTGACATGTACCAATAAAGATTAAGACTGGGACCAACAAAACCAGCAAATCCTGGATATCAAGAGATGTACAAGATTGGATACAGAGGCTTTTGACAGATACTTAGGGTTCAAAACATCAGAAATCTTAGGAGAGTACAGAATATGCAAGGGGGACTTTAAAAAAAGAAATTAGGAGATCAAAAATAGGCATGAAAGAATAACGCTAGGGAAAAAAGCAAAAAAGGACAGTGAAATACTTAGGGAAAGGACTGTAGCAGTAATTTGTGCACGTAGGCAGAGGACATAGGTAGGATTCTAACTGAATACTTTGTGTCAATGTTCACTGGTGAGGATTATAATGTGGTTATAAAAATCATGGAAAAGGAATTTTAATATACTTAAAGGAATTAGCACAGAAAGGAGGTGCTGAGTGGTCTGGCAGGATTAAAATTAGATAAATCTCCAGGGCTGAATGAAATGTATCCCAGGATGTTGAGTGAGGCAAGGGAGGAAAATAGCAGATATGCTGGCAATACATTTCAACTCCTCTTTGGCCACAGGAGAGGTGCCAGAGGACTGGAGGACAGCAATGTGGTACTGTTATTCAAGAAGGAAGCGAAGGATAAACCAGGAAATTACAGATTAGTTAGTGGTGGGGTTCCACAGGTGTCAGTGTTGAGGGACTTGCTGTCTGTGGTATGTATAAACAACTTAGCCTTGAATGTTGGGGGTTGATCAGTAAGTCCACAGATGATATGAAAATTGTTAACCAGTTGATAACTAACAAGGAGGATAGCCTTAGATTAGAGCAGGATACAGACAGGCTGATCAGTGGCAAATGGAATTCTATCCATTTTGTCTGAGGTGATGCACTTGGGTAGAACAAACAAGGCTACGAAATACATGATAAACAGTAGTACTCAGGAAGCACCGAGGATCAGGGAAACCTTGGCGTGCATATCCACCGTTCCTTTAAGATGACGGGTAGGTAGATAAAGTGGTTAAGAAGGCATACTGGATACTTACTTTAATAAGCCAAGGCATAGAGTTTAAGAGCAGGGAGGTTATGTGGGAACTGCACGAAACATTGGTTAGGCCACAGCTCGAGCACTGTGTGCAGCTCTATAATTCACATGATATGAGAGATGGAATTGCGCTGGAGAGGGTGCAGAGGAGATTTACCAGGATGTTGCCTGGGCTGGAGAGTTTAATTAATGAAGCAAGATTAGATAGACTGGGGTTGTTTCATTCGAGCAGAGGAGTTTGAGAGGGGCCAAGATTGAGATGCATAAAATTATGAAGGGCATAGACAAGAAGGGAATTTGCCACTTGGTGGAGAGATCAATGATCAGGGACATAGATTTAAAATAAGCAGGAAGTTTAGAGGGGATGTATGGAAATATTTTCTAACTCAGAGCATGATGGTAGTCTGCAACTCACTGCCTGTAAGGGTGGTAGAGACAGAAGCCCTCATAATATTTAATAAGTATTTAGATGTGCGCTTGCGATGCCAAGGCATACAAGACTACGGGCCAAGTGCTGGAAAATGGGTTGGAACAATTAAGTGTGATAGTATAAACTTCAGAACTTTAATAACTGCTCATAGGTTGAAAGAAGCAGCAATCTGTCTGAAATAAACAATCAGGCAACAAAGACAAACCTATACAGGAATTGAAAACAAGCTCCTTGAAAGTGGAGTGGCAGGTAGACAGTGAAGAAGGTGTTTGGTACGCTTGCCTTTATTGGTCAGTGGATTCAATATAGGAGTAGGGAGGTCATGTTTTGGCCCTACAGGAAATTGGTCAGGCTATCTTTAGAATACTGCGTTCAATTCTGGTCTCCGTACTTTATGAAGAATGTTGTTCAACTTGAAGGGTTCGGAAAAGATTTACAAGGATGTTGTCAGATTTGGAGGGTTTGAGCTGTAGGGAAAGGCTGAATAGACTGGGGCTATTTTTCCTGGAGCATCGGAGGCTGAGGGATGACCTTATATTCTTCAGAAAGAAGGGTCCAGACCCAAAGCGGCAGCTTTCCTGCTCCTCTGATGCTGCCTGGCCTGCTGTCTTCATCCAGCTCCACACCTTGTTATCTCTGTTTTGACATCTGCTTGACAACTAGCTACTTATGCCACAAGGGCAATTATTACCCTGAAGAAGAATTTAAGAAGTTAAGCACATGAAAGCTGTGTCTTCAAACAGACAAGCCAATGTCAAATGTAACAAGGAACAAAGACCATAAAACAAGGAACTCATTTCTGAAGAAGGGTCCAGACCCGAAACGTCAGCTTTCCTGCTCCTCTGATGCTGCTTGGCCTGCTGTGTTCATCCATCTCTACACCTTGTTATGTCAGATTCTCCAGCATTGGCAGTTCCTACTATCTCTGAAGGAACAAAGAAGTTACTTTTGATAAGAAGGCAAGTTGCAGACTCAAGGATTCCAAACAGTAATTAATATTTTGGATGAAAGAGTCTGGAAGATCGTCAATAATGTCACACCATAGACCTGAAGGACAAAAAACTGTATCAGACTTAAACATCAGAACTCTGAGATTTCTTAATAAGTAGCCAAATTAAGGGTAACATGTGGTGATTTAGCTACAATAGGTGGTTTTTGGAGGTCAGTCATCTCACCTCCAGCGCTTTTCTAGTGTTGCTTCTCTGGGCAGTGTTCTAGGCCCAACCATCTACAGCTGTTTCATTAATGGTCTTCCCTTTTGCTACATTGTAGGCCTGTATATAAAGATGAAGCTACTAGAGCAGATCAGAGCTTGAAATCCTGCAGCAAGTGGCTCACCTCCTGACTTCCCAAAGCCTGTCCACCACCTACAAGGCACAAGGCAGGAGTGTAATGGATACTCAACACTTGCCTAAATGAGTGCAACTTCAACAACATTCAAGAAGATTGCTACCAGCAATTTGCTTAATTGCCACCACATCCTCAAACTTCATTCTATCTATCACTGACACTAAGGAGCAGCTGCACTCAAAAATTCACCAAAAAAGCCTCCCTTGGAAGCATCTTTCAAAACCACAACCAGTACCATCAAGAATAAAAAAAGACACAGATACATTGGAACACCACCACCTGCAAGTTCCTCTCTAAGCTAGTCACCAACTTGACTTGGAAATATATTGCCATTTCTTCAGTGTCACCAGGAATTCTGGAAATCTGCACCCTTAGCAACAGCAGGATGAAAGCATCTACAAAAAAAAATGGGCTATAGTGGTGCAACAAAGCAAATCACCACTACCTTCTCAAATGCAACTAGAGATCGAAAATAACTGCTGGTCCAGCCAGTGTAGCCCAGATTCACTGAATGAATAATAGAAATCAACCTACAAGGCTAAGAATCTTGAACTTGACTGTTCAACAATCGATATCAATGTACTGGTAACATTTACTGCAATAACTACAGCTTTCCACTGTTCCTTTTTCATGAACAATTCAGAGGCTGTCCTCTTTTTTTAAGACTTATCTTTTTGGCCTCACCTCTTATTTATACTCTCTGCACATGTGTATTGTGTTGTTATTTCTTCTCACATTTGGAAATGAATAAACCCTTTTTTTAATCAATTTAAGAAAACCTGCTTAAATTGGCTTCATTTGAAACATAAGTTCATTTAGGTCTGGGAGAAAGGTAGCCACAAAAGAAGAGATCCCTGTAAAACTTTACAACTGCAATCAACTGAGGGAGTTGGTGAATAACCAAGGGGAGTCAGATCACCACTGCTCACCGGGGAGCTTAACATTTTGAGATAACCCATCTGGAAGTTGGGGAACCTTGCACAGAACTGCTTGTAACCAAAGGATCAGCTCTGGTATTCTGCTCTGTAGAAAAATTTGTTCATGCTCAAATCAAAGCACAGATGTTGAAAATAGCCAACAAAATAATGTATCAGAAGTTGTGGGCTTCACATGTATGCGTTTCCAAAGTAAAAATGAATGTCTTCAAAATAGTAGGAAAAAAATTTGAGTGAGAAACACTTTATAAAGCAACCCATTTAGCTTATTTTTGAGTCATTATTTTTGCTCCTCCACAATCTTTATAATTTACGTGACTTTTTTGATTTAAATAAAACGACACGACACAAATCAAA